CTTCTGAAGCAGAGTACTTGTTTGACTGATTTAATTGGACCAAAATCAAGTAACATTCTAAATTTATTCGGATATTCAAATGAGGATGGCGGTTGGTTGGTAGAATCCCCAAAGTTTTGGAAAACTAACACAAATTTTAATCACATGTTTGAGCATATCAAATCACTGAAATCTGTAAACGATACAGCAGAACGAGCTGTAAAACTAATTCAAGACTATGCAACATCTATTACAAAAGATGATGAGCAGAAAGAATTTCTTTTACGTGCAGTAGAACACCACCGAAAAGTTCTTCCTCACATAAATAAACAAGCAATTCAAAAACTTAATTTTTGAAAATATGCTTTAAAAAATCTCTTTTTTATTATACCTTTAAAATATTGTTATTTTGTTGTTATAATTTAAAAAAAATGAGATTTTGAACTTCTTAGTACTTATTCCCATTGTGCTTTAATATTGTTAACTTATACCAATCATTTCTATCCTTCTTTGTTTAATAATTGAGTATTTATCAAATTTTTTGTTTTAATTAAAAATTATAATTTATAAAATTCCTTATTTAGGCAGAAAAAAATCATACGACAAAGGTAATATTAGAAAGGATGGGGGGGGGGGAGGGTCATAAACCAGGTGAAAATTTATTTTTAATAAATTTTCATTTTTATTTATTACAAAACTATTTGAAATTATAATAACAGTTAATTATATTGGATATAAATAATAGATATATAAAAGGAGTATATTAAGGATTGTTTTAGGGCAAAAACACATTAAAGGGGTTATGAGGGGGGAGGGGTCAAATATGAATTTTTTTTTGAAAATAACTATTGATTATGTTTTATCAAACAAAATTACACAAGAAAATTATATAAAATACGAACATAGTTGATTATCAAAAATAATTTTAGTCCTTTGTGTCATTTTTTTAGAAAAAAAACACAAAAAAAAGAGCGGCGGGGGGGTCAAATATGAAAATTTTTTGATTTTTTTTTTTTTGTTGCTTTTAGTAAATAAAAATACATATGAAACTGTTTGAAAATCTAGAAATAGTTAAAAACTAAAAAAATTCATGTCATTTTGGGACACCCTAATATATATATATATATATATATATATATATATATATATATATATATATATATATAAAGATCTGTTCTGTTTAATTTAATCTTAAGATTTGTGGTTGCTTAAAAGAAACTTATTTTTGTAATGGCATATAGAAATTTACTAAGTTTTTTTTATTTAACAGCTCTTCAGCAACTTTAAGAGTAAAATGATTGGTTGTTCGTACATAGTATGCATTTTTTAATTTTGTTGTTGAAATTTTGAGGGGATGGTGCTGAAATGTGTGAATGTATAGGTTTACACATTTTAGATTCTTTATCTGGAACCATTAATATAAATCCTTTAAGTCTTTATCAAGATGACAGATTAATATTAATGTGCAAAAAACATCACAACAACAAGCTAAAATCAGAAAAACATCCAAACAAACCTGAACAGCGTTAACTTTCTTGGCATAACTTTTAAAAAATAAACAATGAGTTATTTTACATTCACATGGAACCAAACCATGCACCTTAAGCCTTTAAACAAATTCCTGTCTTCATCAATAATAAGCTATCCCAAAATTCTTATGATGAAAAAATAAATGTTACCAAAATTAGAACATGAAGAACCACTTAAACAAAACAGTTTTAAAAACTTCAAACTAAATAACAACCCAAAAAATAGGATATAATCAAAAAATAAGACATTTCTATTAGAAAAAGGAAACAAAAAATATTTTGGTTTATTCCATGATATGGTGGATTAAACTAAAACCACCTGGAATTTAGAAACTTATCACCTTGTAATCATAATTTAACATTATAAAAACATTTTTAATATCTAAAAGAGTTTAAATAAGTTATTTGGTCATCTTCTCTGTTTTACCTCTGGATATTTGATAAGTAGCATCAGTATAATAAGTATAAAATTTCTTTTTAATAAAAACTACAATTCTAAACAACCGTTTAGACATTTCTTAATCATCTATATAAACTAAAATATGTTTGTAAATTCGACCTAAACCTAAAAAATGTTGACTTTTTTTTTTTTCTGTGTCGTTTATTTCAAATAAAATATAAAACATTGCTGCTGCATCTAGGATTTGAGACAGCAATCTTTTATTTAATTATTATTTGATTTTTTCTTCTTTTTTTAAAAAAGCTGAATAAAATACAAAAAAAGGTTTAGCAAATGACCTGATCTAAATCTACATTTATAAGAATACATACATACATACATACATACATACATACATACATACATACATACATACATACATACATACATACATACATACATACATCATACATACATATATTACATACATACATACATACATACATACATACATACATACATACATACATACATACATACATACATACATACATACATACATACATACATACATACATACATACATACATACATACATACATACATACATACATACATACATACATGAGAGTTCTTGTCCAAATAAAGAATTTGACCCACATTACACTAAAAAAACAGTTAAATTTGGTGGTGGATGCATTATGGTGTGGGGATGTTTCTCGTCATATGGTATTGGTTCTATCTACTTAATAACAGACTTACTATGACAGCTGATATTTATACTAACATACTTGAAGAAATAATGCTTCCTTATGCTGAGGATAACATGCCACTGCTCTAGATATTTCAACAAGATAACGATCCAAAACATACAAAATAATAGGCAATTTTTGTAAATATTGCATGAAGTGAGTGATAAACCTTTGTTAGAAAAAAAAGAAGTTTGTTTTTGTTTATAATTGTTTTTAATTATTTTTGTTAAATATTTGTTTTATAAACATTGAATTTTCTTGATTTTTTTAAATATACGATCAAATAAACCATTTCTGTATTTATTATTTTTTCCAGTAAATTTCCGGCTACTTTATACAAAATTGTTAGTAACATAAGAAAAATTGAAATAAAAATCATAGTTTTAAAAAAAAAAAAATTTCTAACAAGAAGGTTTATAAAAAAATAAAAATCAGTATCAGATAACATCAATTGCTGTGAATAAAACAGGTTTTTATATATATATATATATGCATATATATATATATATATATATATATATATATATATATATATATATATATATATATATATATATATATATATATATATATATATATATATATATATATATATATATATATATATATATATATATATATATATATATATATGCATATATATATATATATATATATTTTTATAACATCTTCGCTTCGAACAACTAAATAGTGTTGGAATTTACTGGAAGAGAAAAAATAAAGATTATAGAGCAAGATAATGATTGACAGACGACTTAAAAGATTACAAATTATATGAATCAGGAAAGCAAGATGAAGGAAGCAAATTCCAAAGAACTGATGTTCGAGTAAATAAACTAGAGGAATAAGAGTTTTTGAAGGTCTTAGGAACAGTAACAGAAAAAGGATGAGACTTAATTGAATTACGAGTAACACGAGAATGAATTTTAGTAGATGGCACACTAGACGCTAGTTCTTTAGAGCAGTGCCCATTATAGTATTTGTAGAAAAGAGAAAGAGAAGCAACATTACGACAATGTGACAAAGGTTGAAGGTTGGTTTCAAGAGCAGGTCCAACTATGTTTACAATGTGTTTTTGCATCTTGTCTAGAAGAGAAAGGCCATCATTAGAAGATCATCCCAGATATGGCAACAGTATTCCATACAAGGCCAATTTTTAGATTTATAGAGATAGAGAATAGAATCCAGAGTGAGAAAGTGTCGAGCTCGATAAAGAGATACAACTTTAGCAGATGCTAATTTTGCAATGGATTTAATCTAAGGTTTCCAAGAAAGATCGGAAGAAAGAGTTAATCCTAGAAGATGAAGGGTAGATGACTCATCAAGTACATTACCGCTCATAAATATAGGAAGGTCTAAATTATTGTGATAACAATTGGCTGAAAAAAATTAAGTTTTATCTGAATTAAAGTTCACCAGCCACTGTGAGCCCCATGCTGTAGCACAAGTGAGATCCTTTTCAAGCTCAAATGCCCCCTGCAAGCAATCAGAGGGAGTTAACTTCTTATTGTGACAAGTATAAAGGGTAGATCATCAGCAAACAATGCCACCTTAGATGTGAGAATATCTGGAAGATCGTTAATGTAATTAAAAAAAAGTATAGGGCCAAGGATTGAACCTTGAGGAACCTCTGAGGTTACAGAATAAGAAGAAGAGTGCAGTCCATCAAGGACAACTTTAATACTACGATGTATGTATGTATGTATGTATGTATGTATGTATGTATGTATGTATGTATGTATGTATGTATGTATGTATGTATGTGTCAAAATAAAAAACAAGTCTCCACAGATCTTGAGAAGATGAATATGAATTTAAAAAAATAATAATAAAAAATGTTAAAAAAAACTCATCTTAATTATAAATAAAATTAACAAAACTAGAGTTAAATTTCAGTATTTTATTTAACTTTTAAATTTATGTACTTTGTTTTGTTTTTTATGACTTTTTTTCTTTTTTTTTTCAGAATTTTCCTGCTTTTTATCAGGATTTTTCTATTAAGTTAATTTAATTGCAATTAAGTGACAATTCAATTTCGATTTATAAAGACCTTGCATCAAGCATGCAATTATGATTTGTAAAGACATTGCATCAATCATCCAATTATGATTTGTAAAGACCTTACATCAACCATTTACTATGATTATAGGTTATATGCATCAATCATCTACTATTATAGGTTATATAAATTTTTTTATCAATAATAAAAAATATAAAAATCACTTAAAGTTCAGCCTAAAAAAAATTTAAAAAATTTTAGCTAATATATACCAAAGTTTTTAACACAAAAGTTGGTATCATAATGAAAAATAAAATAAAGATAAATTAAATGATTCAAAGTTATAAATAAATATCGCCTACTTGCATTTGAGGGCCATGTGATGAAACTGTATTAACAGAAAGTTTAGGTTGGTTTATCAAGTCTTGCAATTGAGAAGCAATACTGTAAACTCTTTGATTCGAACTACTTTGCAAAACAGCTGAGGGTAACGAAACTAACATGCCTTGAGTAATTGTCACATTTGGAGCTGGCATTTCTTTAGAATTAGAAGCAAACAAATTATCTATAGGACTATGAAGTACATGACTTTTATTGAGAGAAGTAGTAACATTTTCTAAATTCTTTGTCATAACAAAACCTACAGAACTCAATGTAACGTTGCAACCAATTTGTGCATTAGATGGTTTTGAGCGCCGATTAGAAATATGGTCAACAGTGTTTGTCTGCATAAAAGCTACACTTGCAGCAATGCTTGCAGGTTGTTGGTTTAAATAAGAAAGATTAGCAACTGGTTTTGCAAAACTTGTTTGGCTTTCAAGTAAAACATTTACAGCTTCTTGGTTTTCTAATGAATGAGTTTCCAACATATTGATTTCAGAAGAATGTCGCCTTTTTGCTGACACAGCATAACTTAGTGAATCAGCAATGATGCCTGTTTGAACATCATTATGTGATAACTGTCTTTTGGTACCATTTAATTTATTTGTTTTAATTCTTTGTTTGTGAAATATTGCTTTCTGTGTGGGATCATTAATATCAGAAGAAATACCTATAAAATTATGAAGTAAACTATTAATTATTGGTAGGCAATTATCTTGTGCCTTTATATTACCTACCTGACTCCACAATCAACACTCTCTAACTCACAAACATAATAATTAAGTTTGTAATAATTAAAAAAAAAAATTAAAATAAACAAAAAATAAAAATAAAAAAAAGTAAAATACCATCTTGTTTTATTCGAGAATCTTTCAAAACTAAGTTCATGCAACTAATAAAAATAATCAAATATCTTTCAAAGAATATTCTAAAGTAGCTATTAAATATTGTATTGTAAATAATATAGTAATATAAATACCTTGCAGAAGAACAGTTTTTATATTGATCTATGAGAGAAGTTGCTGCATAATAAATGCGATCATTTCGACGCGAAAATATACGACAATGTAAATTAGTTTGTCTAGATCCAAAGGAATTAATCTAAATATTTTGAATACATTTTGTTATTATTTGTTTTGCAAATATTTTTTATATATATATATATTACTTCTATTTTTGTGAATTAAGTCTTTTAGGCGTGCATAGGTTTCAAAAAAAAAAAAATGTAAACCATTTTATTTTTAAAAAGCTGTGCAATTCAGATGACTTAATTTCGCTGATCAAAAAATTAATTGAAAGTTATACTACTAAAATTATTAAGCCAAAAAATTTTTTATATGAATTACATAAGTATAATATTGGTAATAATATATTTATGTATATTAGGTAAATTCTTGTTAATAATATACCTATACAGTAAATTAAATATGTTTTTAAAATTACCAATATTACTTGTTTTTCGTTAGTGTATTATACAGTAATATAAAAAAGCCCACAAAATGGCAGATTATTCACCTTTATTAGTAATAAGCTATACAGCTGTCTATTATTTGAAAATTAGATTATATAAATTAAATAAATAAGTATAGCTGACAAAACTAATTTTTAGCAACTTGTAAAGATTTTTCTAGAAACTTTAGGAAATTTTAATAAACTTTGCACACTTTGATTCTCCATAAAAAACAAATTAAAATACATATTTTATAATTAAGATAAAAAAACAACCTTTTATCATTTTTACTTATTTCAACTTTTTGTCTTTGTTATTTTAATATTTTATTTTTTTTAACCTATTTCAATATTTTATTTTTTTAGTTATTTCAATATGTCATTTTTTTAATTAATTTAACTTTTTAAATTTATAATTAAGAAAAAACTACTCTATCAAAGATAAAACAAATGATTGAATTAAAAATTCAACAATAACATCTTAGAAATTAGTTTGTAAATGCAATTCAAAACTTAAAAAAAAAGAATAATAATAATTTCAAAATATTATACATTTACATCTTGACAATTTTAACAGTAAACATAATCAATGGAAATTATTCTCAAATACTGTTATTTTAGCTATTATTATTTATTTATTAAGCATATATTATTATATCTGCATAGCTCATTGTTTTGGGTGACATGGTCTATTTATAAGTCAAGTTCTTTTTATCTGAAAGTGCCCAAAAATATTAAACACAAAAAACCATCATCAATTTAAATGAAAGAACAATCTTCCTGACCATCTAACATTTAAATCACTGTATTGTTGGCATTTTTGTATTGATGTGTGACAGGCTTTTAACAGAGTCCTTTACTTTATGTTTTCTTGGATTAACATTTACTACAAGCCTCTCATGGAAACTGTATATAAAATCGATTGCAAAATTAACTTCTGCTAAGGTTGCTATTCTTTATCTTGCTTGACATTTCTTACTCCCAACTCCATTCTCTACCTCTAATTATTTCTTATTTTTTTGTGTATGAAATACCATTGTTGTACTTGGGCTAGCTCTTCTAATGTTTTTTTTTCTTTTAGACAAGGTCCAAAAATACTTGCTCTATCTGCCAAGTTTGAGCCATTGTTGCAAGGTTGCATAACTTTAGTTCCATTAGCCAAAACTCATCATTTTTGCTTAACTTGTCATTCAGCAAAGTCACATCCTTTTACTGTATCTGTCCTTTCATGCTTAAAAAACTGTTATATATCTAGTTTCTTTCCATACATCAACCCTTTGGTAATCTATCTCATCTTTATATCTCCCTAACTCAAATAACCAACAACTTTTTCAAGTTTTCTGTCAATTGTCTTTTTGCTCTTCAACAATACTATTTATTTTCTAGGAACTCCGAACTCAATAGTAGTTGCTTCCAGTCTTGTTGGGAGTAAATCAGTTTAAAAAAACTGGTTAAAATGTTAAAAATAAATGCACCACCTAAAAATATTGGTAAAAGATTACTACATCTGTCCAACAACATCTGTAGAGTAATCGAAGATCATGTGTACACATGTCCAAGATCATCTGTATTTTTTTTTTACTCAAACAACATCTGTCCAATATCATCTAGAAATTCAATGACCCCTAACAACATCTTTAGGAAGATGTTGTTAGGGGTCTACATCAGGTAATTTTTCTTTAAGTCCAATAACATCTTGAAAAATTAGCTCCAGATTTAATTACATCTGAAAAAAATCTTATATGTAACTATATCTGGTTAAAATTATGCATTATTATTTAATATTTTTTTCCAGATGCAACTACAAATGAAAAAAAACCATGTATGTAACTACATCTGGTTAAAATAATGCATTATAATTTAATAATTTCATAAAATCCTGTAGTTATATTCAAAATAATTAAAAAGATATAACTACATCTGTAGAACTCACAGATGCATTATAATTTAATAATTTCATAAATAATGCATTATAATTTAATAATTTCATAAAACGCTGTAGTTATATTCAATATAATTAAAAAGATGTGACTACATCTGTAGAAGTCACAGATGCTGTTGTACAGATGTAGTTCTTAACATAATTTAAAAAATGTAACTACATCTGTAAAATTTCCAGATGTAGTTGTACAGATGTTGTTATACTTAGATAATTGAATAGATGGAACTACATCTGTAATAATCAAATGCTTTTTACACAGATGTTATTGACATCAATTAAATTTCAGATGTTGTTGGGCAGATGTTTTTATACCTAAGTGTATTTACAGATGTTGTTGGACAATTGTAGTTATACATTATTATATTTACGGATGTTGTTGGAAAGATGTTATTAGATATAGCAAAAACTGATGTTGTTATGCTAACCCAAAATATTAAATACTGTCAAAAATGATCTAGAATAGGCCTTGTGCATGTATGTGTATAAGTATGTCTGTAAATAATCCATACATGTATGGATACAATACTATTAAATTTATTAATGTCATGGTGGTGTAGTGGATAAGCGCTTGTTTCATAAGCCAAAGGTTCGGAGTTCGATCACCACCACGCCCTTTGTAATACCACGCTCAACTTAATTCTCAGTGCAGTGGCCTTGTTTGTCAAGTTTTGTGTTTCTGAGTTATATAATTGAGAGAAAGTTATAAAAATAATTAAGAAACCTCTCTGTTATAGTGACCTTCTGGGCCTTGCGGAGGTGAATTAATATCAGAAATATATATATAATAATAAACAACCATCTATAAATGTATATTACTTTTAAATTCAGTAAATAAATTAACATATTTAAAAACTAGTTTTAAAATTAATAAATAAAATAGAAGAGAGGAAATTGCCTTAAGCAAAAATTTTTTTTTTTTTAAATTGGATTGGAAATGTGATAAGTCAAACTTTTTTCAAAAGTGAGGTTATTTGAAAAAAACTTTTTTTTTAAGAAAAGATGAACTTTTTAAATAAAATAAAGATAAAAAAAAACAGAAGAAAAATTTTTCACTCTCCTGTAAAATTTTAATTTTGTGACTCATCAGGTTTTCAAAATACAGTGTTCCAATATTTTAAATTATTGTTTGTTTAGGCACAACTTAGGGATTATATATATATATATATATATATATATATATATATATATATATATATATATATATATATATATATATATATATATATATATATATATAATATATATATATATATATATATATATATATATATATATATATATATATATATATATATATATATATATATATATATATATATATATTTATATATATACAGTATTTAAGAACCACCAAAAAACAAATCATAATTTATTTTATTTTTAAATTTTATTTAATCAAGTATATTTTTCTGGTAAAAAAATAATAATAATAAACTTTAGAAAATAGAAAACAAAATAAAAAATAAGAATAATGACAAAAACTTTTAAACAAATAAATGTGTTTAATGTTTTATAGGTAATTTTTATTTAAAAAAAAAATTGTAAAATAGTTAAGAACCACAGTACAAAAAACAGTAACTTTTACCTAATACCGCATAATTCAACCATATATTTAAGAAAAAAAATGCAAACGATTTGGCATTGAGTCTATTAAATTCTCTAAAATATATTTGGGAACATTTCCAAGTATTATTGGTTAAATATTACGCAACTCCTCAACGCTCTTTGGTGCTTTCTTGGCAATTTCTTTATCAAGCTCCAAATATATTCAATGCAATTTAGATCTTGGCTATTTGGTGGCCAAATTAGACGCTCAATAATTTTGCTTTTGAACCATTCAAGGACAATTTTAATCATTTTTTATGTGACATGGTGCATCATATTCCAACCAACCTGCTACCTTGTTTTGTTCTTTGAATGATACAATCAAGATTATATTTTTATGAAGGCTGCCTGCAAATCATAATTCTGTTTTTTTGGCTATCAACCTCGATATTCATCTCATCACTGAACATTATTTGTAATTTTTCTTTAGACCATTCTTTGACGCTTTGGCAAAATTCTTTTTGCTTTTTTATATGTTGTTTGGTAAGTCGCGGTTTTAGAACAGCTTTTTTCCATAACATATTGTTAGCTATTAGTTTCCTTCACACAAATGATGCCCATGCTTGATGTATCATTGAATGTCCTCAAACGCAGTCTTCCAGAACAATGGCAAACAATGTAAGATTTCGTCTCTTTGAATTTTTTGATGATTGTTAGGACCGAACTATGTGATCCCTATATTATTTTTCTAATTTCACAAACGGTTTTACCTTCCTGGTGAAAATGCGCTACTTTTACACAATCTACATAGGTAATAGCTTTTCTGCTCATTTTTTCAAAAGAAAATAATTTTTTTTTGTTTAAAATTAAATACCTTTTTTTTAAATACTTTTATTGATTTTTTGGTAGTGACTCAGGTCATTAATAGAATATATAAATTAAAAAAAGACATTTCCGCCGCATTTAGCACAAAAAATTCTTTGTGATTGTTGACTTTTCCACAAAAAAAAATATTTTAAAAAATTAACACATAATATTTAATCCTTATTTTTATAGTTCTATTAATTAATTTTCAAAAAAAAGTCTTTTATTACATGTTTAATGTTTGAAAAAAAATTATCTTTAGTATGAAATTTAATTAATTTTATAAGTTAACTATATATATATATGTATATATATATATATATATATAAATACATATATATATACATTTGTATATACATATATATACATATATATATATATATATATATATATATATATATATATATATATATATATATATATATATATATATATATATATATATATATATATATATATATATATATAAATTTATATATATGTATGTATATATATATATATATATATATATATATATATATATATATATATATATATATATATATATATATATATACATATTTATATACATATTTATATACATATTTATATACATATTTATATACATATTTATATACATATTTATATACATATTTATATACATATATATGGTACCCCAAAAAGACCTAATGGTCTTGTCACAGAGCACAGCGGAAGAGTATTTAACCAGGAAGTTCATGCCTTTTTCCTTACCGATGGTGAAAAATATGCCTAGAGCTTGCTATATATATACATGATAGTTCTGAAAAGTAAAGTACTTATCTATGTACTCATAGTAAAGAACTTAACAAGTAAAAAAACTCAGAGCTGTAATTAATTTTTTTTTAACTTTAATATTTAATTAATTTTAGTTAATACATAATACATTAAGTAGATACATGAAATGAAATACTCAAATTTAGTATACATACTAAAATATATGCTAAAATCAAACTTTTTGTTCACTGAGATCGAAATTAGTTAACTAAGATCAAAATTACCTACTTTCATAGGTCTAGGATGATATAATAATGTAGGTAGATTTGATGAACCAATCACTTCTTCCGAAATGTCATACTCTAATTGCTTTGTGACAGGTGAATGTTGGCTGTGATTATTTGCTAAATATTTAAAACTAAATATATCAATGTTAATAAATGCTAATGCAAATTAGCATTTATTAACATTGATATTAAAACAAAAAATTCTTGTAAAATTTAAAACAACATTTTTTAAGTAAAATGTAAAACACTTAACTCCTAATAAATATTAATTAATAACAATACTTATTTTTAGAAGAAAAAAAAAAGGAAACTAAAAAACCACCAACAAATCTTTAAGCTTGTTTAAAATAATTAACTATTTACTATAAACTATTTTTTGTACTATTTACTATGTACTATTTACTAATATTTTTTAGACTTTATGAGTGATTTTAATTTTGACGTTCAATTTTGAGTTTTGAGATTTGTGTTTCATGTAAAATCAATACAAAAAAAAGACCAATTTCAATTTGGACATTGTCAACTGAGATAAGCTGAGAATAAATTTGTCATGATATCAGGGTGTAAACTAGCCCTGTGGGGCCCCGCCAAACGCGGTATTCCAAAATGCTAATAAAGTTAAAATTCCCAATTTAAAAGTGAAAAAATCCCATTCTCTAAACAAAGTTTGCCAAATTAAAGTGTCATAATATTTCTAAAAATTATTGAAAATTAATTACTATTAAAAACTAATAGAAAATTAACATAAAAAATTATAATTTATTTTTTAAAACTTGAAATAAAATTGCGGCTATTGGTATTACTACGCGCTTGCATAACTTAGGATTTTCTGAAAATCCCTAACCGCTTGGAAAAAAAATTCAGTTATCAAAATTTGCAAATAATTTTTTGCAATGCGTTCCAACAACAGCAAATATTATTAAAAAAAAATTAGTAAGAAATAAATTATATTTAAAATTTATAAATTTATTTGGTTTAACACCCACAAATGCTATTTCTTTAAAAGTTTTGCCGTTTTTTAGCTGAAAAGTTAAATAAGTTTAATAAATGATTTTTGATTATAAGAAAGTAATTCTAGAAACTTTATTTAATAAGAAAAATAGATTTCTTTACTTTACTGGTCGCTTATAGTTAAACATAAATTAAATACGTTTATAAAAACACAAATTAAATACCTTTAATAACAAGAATGTTTTTTTTTTATTACAACAAACTGGTACTAGATATTTAAAAAACAAGATTCACTGCTTGCTTGAATTTAAAACATAGAAGCAAATTTTAATGTTTTAATGAACTATAGTCATAGTAACATTTTATGACTATGCATGAAAAAATAATTATTCGTATTCTTTGTTGGCACGATAGCGTGCAATTGTTTGCAATCTTTTGTAATTTTTTTGTAATTAAACAACATTTGTTGTCGTTTTTGCTGAGACTTTGCAATTGTAACTTTATTTTGTAATGCAATTTATGTATAAAGAAAGTTAATATTAATTATAAAACTGAACTTGTGATAAATGTGAAATATGTAATTTACGAGTTGTGTTTACTATTTTTAAAATTTTTTATTTTTTATTTTTAAAACATTTCTTTTGATGACACAATTTATTACATGATGGTGTAAGGGTTTGACCATAAAGGATGTCAAATAGATTTTGAATAATAATTTGAAGTAGAAGATGGACAATAATTTGAAGTAGATTAATGGATAGGGGCTGTCCATTAATTACGTCAACAAATTTTCTGGAATTTTCACCTCCCCCACCCCTTCCCTTTGTCAACAATTTGTTAAATCATAGAGACCCCCCTATAAAATTACATCAAATTTTGATTACCCTGCCCTCAAAATACAAAGAAACTAAGCTATAAACTCAACCTAATTTTCCTTTATTTAAGAAATGAGACTCAAAAAAAATTTAAAAAATTGTTGACGTCATCTTTAATTGACTCCTTCCCCCCTCCTTCATGTAAACAATTGTCAAAAAAGTTCAGAACCCCCTCCCCTTTTTTGTTGATGTAATTAATGGACAACCCCTCATTAGCTCTTATCGGCAGAAATTTTAAACATAAATCGCTATATTACTTAAAAATTCCCCTTTAAAATATTTTTTCTAAAAATCGCCTAGTGAAAAAAATATATTCAAAAAATATATTCAAAAAATACTCTTAACATTAAAGCGGCAACAATATACTAACATTAAAAGTAAATCAAATATATTATTCTTAATAATAATTAATTAACACACACTGATTATTTTATAATATAAAAATATTCAATTCTGAATATATCTTTAAAAATCGGAGCTTAATTTGTCTTGTCGTTGTGAAACCACTTTTAATTTTGTGTTGATTTCATATTCATCTTCAATAAATGTTACAGACAGTATTTTGTTTTATTTTTGGCGTTGTCCAATCAATGTATGCAGTGCTAAAGTGGAGTAGAAAAAGAAAGAATATAAAAAAAAGGAACCCACACTTTTCCAGAACACATTTTTATCTCAGGGCAAGTGGGAGGGAGGGGGGTTAATTGGGAAGTTTTTTGACAAATTCCCAATTTCTTCAAAACGCTGTATTGAATTTACTTCTAGTTAACACTCTGGATGTTCAAGGGTTTTAATAAATACAAGTTTTAATTCTAACAATGTTGTTTTCTGTGATGTTTTTCAATGTCTAATATTTGGGTGTAGAGAGTAATTATCAGCAAGACAATTTCAAAACAAAAATCAGAAAAAATTAAGAGATATCAACTAAAGCAAAAGGCATATCTACTAAAGCAAAAGGGATATCAATTAAAACAAAAGAGATATTAACTAAAGCTAAAATATTGGCTATTATTTGATTATTATGTATAAAAATTCTTATTGCAAAAATTTAAGAAATATTTGTGTATATTTTTTTTTTCAGTGCCCAAGATTCTGTAACAGTACTTTAAAGTACCCAGGATTTTATGTTACCATACAGTGCCTTGGTTTGTGGAAAATTATGAGGTCTTAACTTATTTGGTTAAAAATATAGGATTTTCAACTTTTAAGAAATAATGATTTTTTAGCTATAACTTAGCTTTTATAATATTTAGAAACAAACATAAAATATGATAGTTTTCAATAAACATTTAAATATAAAATTTAAATTTAAATATAACATTATAGAAAAGTCCATAATAGAAAACTTTCTCAGAAAACTCAGTTCACTCAATCTGCAAAACAGTTCAACGTTAGGAAAAGCATTCAGACGTAGAAAGTTTCTTTAACTTTTCTGTAATCTCATAATTAAATACAGTGCTGGATTGGTCCACCAGAATACCGGGAATATCCCTGTGAGCCTACTGGTCCACAAATATTGTCAAGTTTTTGCATTTAATAATCTCTCTCTTCACTTCACCACTACTTTTTATCAAATTTATTTATTTCATATCATTTGAATGACCTGTTAATTGGTCAAATCAAAACAATAATTATGTCAATGATTGGTTAGCAGAAATTTATTTATCTATATATAAGTTACAAAATTTTTTTATTGATTTTAATTAAAAAGATAGTTTTCATTTAAAGTTTAAAACAAATCTAAAAACTTTTCATTAAAATTAAAAACACATTCAATTTAGTAGTTGGAACATTTGATAATAAATTGAATTAAAGTTTAAATTTTAAACATGAGAATTTTGCTTAAAATATAGTAATGACATAAGTTCACAAATTGTACAAAGTTCTAAAACTACTTGTTTATTTTATAATTTGAGTATTATAATAAAATTAATTGGAAATGGTTATTGTGCAGACTAGCAAGTGGCTCTAGCTAAAAATGAGACTTTTTGCAAACCCAGTCCCAGCAAAGATCATAAGATTTAGCAGGGGTTGATAGTCGGGGCTACAAAAAAAATTATAATACTTGATATATAATAACTTTATACTTACATTTACTATTTATTTAAGACTTTATTAATACTATTTATTATTACTATTTATACATTATTAAACTTTTATTTACTTCCAACAAGGTTGCAAGCAACCATTATTCAGTTATAAGTTACTTTAAAATAGTGGATAGGGTTAAAAAGCTAGGAAATGGTTAACTGAAGACTTAAAAAGTTGTAGTTTGTATATAAAACAAAAACATGTTCAGTAAGAGTTATGAGGACAGATTAGAAAAAAACATTGTATAGAACATTTGTTAGAGAAGACTATAGTGATTTAGGTATCAGCATGTAGAGAGGTAGCAGTTTCAGGATTAAATGGTAGAAAGAAGAAAACAAGAAGAAAGTGCTTTACATATTGTATAAATGAGCTTTAATTAAGGAAAGAAAATCCCCTAGATTGTTTATATCAGGGAAACAGCATAAATAAGGAAGGCTAAAGCCTGATGATGATGATGATGATAATGATGATGATGATGATGATGATGATGATGATGATGATGATGATGATGATGATGATGATGATGATGATGATGATCATGATGATCATGATGATGATCATGATGATCATGATGATCTTGATTATGATGATCATAATGATGATCATGACAATAGTGATTATCATGAAAATAATGATTATGATGATGATCATGTTGATCATAATAATCATTATAGTCATGTTATATGGTGTTTATATATGCATATATAAATAAAATATAAGATGAATTTTGAATAAAAAATATATACTTTAGGGTGTATAAATGTTATGCAACCCCAGTCAAAATCCTAGCCTCAGCTATATTCTATAAAACTAAGCCCCGGTCAAATTTCAACCCCGGTTGCTTACTAGTGTAGACCTGTCTATCTTTAGTTTACTTAGCTATTAAACTAAAATTATAAAGTTTTTTTTTACTTTTTAGTAAAAGGTAAATGTTTTTGCTATACTTTATTTTTAAAAAAATGAAACTTACATTATATTTATACTATTTATATTATACTCTTTATTCAGAAAGTGGCAAGTAAATCCCTAAGTCATGATATCGATCAAACATTTTTAACTCTTGTATTGTCACAATCACATAACATAACAAAATTAATTGACAAGAAGCATAATAACATGTGTTTCAAAAATAATACATGTTATAAAAACATGTTAATCTAATGTAGAAGAAGTATAGATAAACATTTTAGTTGAGAAAGAGAACAAGGAAAAACTAAGCACTAACTAAGATCACAGACACAAATCAAGGGACAAAGGCAAGTGATTTTTTTGATTAAAACTAATTAATAAATTTATACCAAGAAAAAAAATATTGCTGTTTTAGTCAAAGCTTGTCTTCTCCATTTTCTGCAGTATTTTGAGTATGTAAAATAAATGCGATTTTCCAGGCGCATTATACAGACTTGATAATTTATTCAAGTCCATTTAGTTCATAGAAATTTTAGTACATGATGTCATAGATTTTTTTGTTTGTTTAAATCACCGATTATTATTTTTTACATGCAATTTCTAAATCATATTCATTTTTATTATATTTTAAAGTTTTTAAAATGAGTTTGTAAAAAAACTAAAAACAAAATAATATTTTATTTGCACAAATTTTTTTAAATATTCATCTAGACCACATGTATTTTGATTTCTTTTGTTATAAGTTTTTCTTTTAAAGTATTAGATAAAATAACTTTTAACCTAAATAGTAATGCACTTTTATTAATTTACTTTGTAAATATTAAAAAATTATTAAAGCATTTTTTCTCTGATTTTCAAAAATGTATTTTATGGTCTTAAGGTGATCTTATTTCATTATTTATATTTCCATTATTATAACATCCAATATATATTATGGAGGGGGCTTAAAAATTAAAAAATTAATATATATTTATTTTTATTTTACGGACATACATAGAAACAAAATTAACTTGAATGTTCTTAAAACATCTTGCAGAAGAATAAAAAGAATATTCGTGAACACTAAAAACCTGCCAAATTTACGAACAAACTAAATCTATTGGTTTAAAAAATTACGCTGACTAAGCGAAATAAAGTTCTAGAGTATTCTGTTGAAATGTTTTAGGAATTGTATTATTTACGATTTGTTGCGTTTTGAGATATCTAGCATAAATTTTTTTAAGAATATATTATCAAATGAACTATTACTTTAATATTATGGCTCACTCTTGGAGCCACATCTGTAAAGCTGCAAATCTTTTAAATTATTATCATTTGTTTACAAAAATAAATGTTTTATAATATATATTTTTTAAATTGTCAAAATTTTGAAAGTTAATTACAAATTATACATTTTATTAGTATATTCTTATTTTTTATATCTTTTCCGAGTGCTTGGTTTAATTAATTGTTCGTTAGATTTTAATTAATTAATTGTTTAATTAATTGTTTGTTATTTTGTAGAAACAACTTGCATCAAAATGTAAAGAACACATTCGTGAATCATCGGAGATATTATATAACTCGATTTGGCGCCATAGGGGCCCCTAGGTCCACCATTGCTGTGGCCCATGTAGCCACAGCTCTAATAGCTACAGAAAAACTTAATGTTTTTTTCAATGTGAAGATTTTAGAAAATAAAATAACTAACTATAGTTAGTTATTTTAGTAAAAATTAATTGTAAAATTTTTAAAGAATTTCAAAATTTTTCCAATGACGTCATGTACTAAAACTTCTATGAATTAAACGCACTTTAATAAATTATCAAATCTGTATAATGCGCCTAGAAAATCGTGTTTATTTTACATACTCAAAATACTGCAGAAAATGAAGAAGACGAGCTTCGACTAAAATAACAAGATTTGTTTTTCTTGGTATACATTTATTAATTAGTTTTAATCAAAAAAAAATTTGCTCAGACATTTTTTTTTAACATTCTCTTTAATATGAACACAACATGCCTCGGGACTTGGTAGTAGGGACTTGGTCCCTTTAAGAAACTTTCAAGACTGAAAAAAAATGATGATAAGAAACAATAAAACGATGATATAGACCTGAAACTATAGATCTATCTGTTACTACAAAAAAAAATTTTAAATCCAAATTTTAACCAAAAAATGAATTTACATTTGTATCAGTAAAATTTCCTAGATATAAAATGCCTAGTCAGGTATTTATTGAGACATGAGCTGCACTTATAAAACTATAAAGCAAAAATAACATAATTGAAAACACGGTGTAAATATACAATTTTGTTTTTGACATTTTTTTGAGTAGTAGTTTTACACTACTTTAACCTGGATTTTATTTAAAAAGGAGATAAAAAGTAAAAAGGCACTTACACTTTGGGGATTTGAGATTGGGCCCAGCCATGTCTTTTTCTCTGTTTGTAATATTCAATCTAAAAAATATATTTTCAACAATGATATTTCCTCAGCAATTTTACTGAAATTAATTGCTGTTAGAGGAAGGTAAATTGAGGCAAAATAATATATTAGGTAATAAATGTTATTTATAGTATATATTAGGTTATATATGCCACAACTTAAATTAAATTGGAAAATACTATTACTATACTTTACTTTACATTATATATTGCTATTAACTACAATTCTATTATTATCTACTAGATAAGGTAAAAATAATTTTTCATGTCTAGATAATTAATTAAATTTGACAAAGTAATTAATCTAGATAAACTTAGATAGCTACTTTGCCAACAATTTAAAAAAAATAAGATATATTAAGTCTTTATAACTTAAGTTCAATATATTTTAATTTACATGTTTTCTACTACTGCAAGAGTTAACTTTATTTAAACAACTTTAATGTACAATACAAGGACTACTATACGGAAGGACGCGCTAAGTCGATTTCCTGACTCCGCTAGCGAAGGCCAGTCAATATTTCTCACTTAACTCCTAAATAACTAAAATTGGCTCAAACAACGTTTCATAAAATCAAAATTTTGAAATAGGATTAAAATAATTTTACATTATTGTTAATAACAAAATCAAAACTTATTTTAAAAAGCTTAAAAGATTGATATAAAAAACCTCTATAAAAAAACAAAGAACATATTATTGACACAATTTATTTATATAGAAATAAACATATAAACATCATATTCTATAGAGACTTTTAAACAATGTTAAAACTTTTTTTTTTTTAAACATAATGAACTTAATATAACTTTGTAAAGAAATAAACAATACAATATTTTTCAAGTAAAAAATCTAAAAAGAAAGATTCACTACTCAGCAAGGCGTGCCTTCTTAATTGATGTCTGATAAAGACATGCATTTTTTGCTTGGTCTTTATCCAAATTCTGAATTTCATGCAGAAGAACATTTGCCAAACGCCTAAAAAAACTCTTAGATGATAAACCAAAATCATAATATGTGTCCATTATAGATAGAATGTTTATAAGTCTTTTTCTACAACATGCTCTGTGCTTTGTTTTTTTTTTCACAAAGCATAAACCAATTCTAACTAGCTGATAAGTACACTCATGCGGAACTGTCAAATAGCCCCTTGAAACTTCTTCAATAAAGTCTTTAGCTTCATTTGTTAGTTCAGGTTCATGATCTGGATAAACTAGTTCATCTTCACATTTTTTCTCAAGCCATTCTGCTACATAGGCAGCAGAGCTCTCTTCAGTTTCAGAAAGACTCACATTATAAATGCATGTTTCAATTGAAGTTGCATCTTCAATACTAATTGGACCCTCACATATGTGACCTTTTTTATTGGGTTGTCCTACTTCCACTGATTCTAAAAATGATGCAGCAAATCTAGCTTAACGCTTTTTAAAAGCAGAGAAAACATCATCAGCTGCCTTAAAAACATTTGCCCCTGTTAATTGTCTATAAACAGAAAATTCTCCTTCTATTCTATCACTTTGTAGCTCACGAAGCAAAACATAATCAAAACCAACTGAAAACAAATGTTTGCAGAGAGCTATCAATCCTTCAGTAGTTTGCACAAGGGCTTTTTTGGTATCATGGGTAACGCACTGAACTCGTTTAGGCCCATGTCCTGATTCCATACATTTAAGTATGTCTAAAAACAATTGAAGATTATTTGAATTTTTATCTTGCACAGATTGGTTGTGATCTCTCAACCTAACATCCTGCCCTTTTGCAGAAACATTAACAATATTCCACTAATCTAAAATCTGCTGGATAAAAGAGGATGTTTCATAAGCTCCTTTTAGTTTAAGGGAAGCTACTACTTTCTCATTAAACACTCTTAAAACATACTGCACATTCTGTAGTTGAAGTCTCGAAGGATAGACAGCAGCATAGGATAAAGGAATTGTTTTTTAAATGTTCTCTTTCTCGTATTGATATAAACTTTTCACATCTGAAAATGAAGCTATGGTTTTATTTTTGAGAGATAGCTTTTGACACTTTTCAGAAATCCAGTTATTGCGAATACATTTAAATAGATGAACTGTGTCATGTAAAAGAAATCAAACACGCTGATTGTCTAATGGATGAATGGTCTGATAGTCAGTTATTCTGTTAAAAATTTTGCAGTATTGCTGATTGATTTTATGTTTATCAGTTACAGATCCTAAAACTATTGCACCATGTTTTTCAACTATAATAGCAGCTTCTTTCACAACAATGAACTGATACAATGATGTTAGTTTGTGAACAGGGGTAACAGAAATCATTAAACTAGGTCCACCATGTAAGCATTTCATCATGACACATAGCATAGAGGTTGCTTTAGATTCTGGATCATTTCTTGCCATCCCATTTAAAACTCCACACGAATAAGCAACTGTTGGCCTAATTTTCACCTCGTCAACTATCAAAATAACATTTTTCTGTTAATTATTCTTTACATTTTCATATGTTTTTTGTAAAACATGGTCAATGTTAGTGGCAGAAATTATAGACTGAAGCTTTCGTTTACTAGGAAGGACTAAAAAATCACGAAGTTGATCGTAGTTGCAATTATAAAAAGACTCAATTGCAAAGCAATAATCAGCTATAGAGAAACTTTTTTTAGACAAGAGTTTGAGTTGTCTTGTAATAAAATTCAATTTTTTTTGTTTCTTATCATCATTTAATTCAAATTCATTTTCTGAAAGAGTATTTGTCATCTTTTCAATAACATCATTAAAATGCAGATTATAATTATGAACTAAAATGATTGCTTCAAAAAATTGTGAATAGAAGCTTAAGCCATTGTTTGGATTCAATATATTAGCTAATGGAACAGAAATTCCATGTTTAAAAGCTGAAAAAGTTAGCGGTGAACACAAGGTACACTTATCATAAACAATAATCGTCACAAAACTCTCTTTGAAATCTTTTGACATAAAAATGCATGTGAATTTATCGTCTTGTCGAGATATCACTATATTTTTATACTTTTTGTGCAACTTATTGTCAGGATAAAAATCAGAAAAAGAATTTTTTCTATCTTTTTTGATGAAATAATTCAATTGCATGTCCTAAGGTTTAGATTGGCGAGGCACAGGCTTTGGCGTTGGTAAACAAGAACATCAATCCATTTCTGTTTCTTAATTTCATCTTTCGGTAATTTAAAAATACGACACTTATTAAGTTTATTATAATTCCCTTTACAATTTACAACGCCACATTTGTTCACCATGATTATGGTTAAAATTTAAAAAAATGTTACAGGAATGTTAAAGAACACTTTAACTTTGATAAAAATAATGGCCTTCGCTAGCGGAGTCAGGAAATCGACTTTGCGCGTCCTTCCGTATAGTAGTCTTTGGTACAATATTAAAATTGGAGACAATTTAAAAATCCTTAATTGATTCTCATTAAATGGTTTAAATTGTTCTCAAAACAATTTAAAAAACTTGAAATGACCTTAACTACCCAACCAGTATCCAGCTCTCTAAATATGGCTTGGTTAAACTTAAAGATAAATTTAGGAGAAAACTGATTTGAATTAATCAATGAAATTTTTTGCCTTTTTTTTGAAACTAATAAAAAACAAAGAATAAAGTTAAAGATTGGATGTATAGAATGGGTTTACAGAAGACTTGAAAAGTTGTATGTTGAATGAGTTGAGAAAATATGAAGATGGGATAGCTCCTAAGGATTAAAACTACGATTACAATGTGATTTTAAACCTTGTCAAGAAAAGAAAATCATAATAAGAAATCACCCTAAATATGACAAAAGTTCTCCATACAGGGACAAATAAAAGATTTGTAGAGTTAGAGAATGGAATCAGAAGTAAGATAAAGGCAAACACAATAAAAAAAAACAACCTGAGTAGTTGCTAACTTTGCAATCAATTATATATATGGTTTTTGGGAGATCAGTAGTAAACAATAATCCAAGAAGATGTAAAGAAGAGAACTCAATGAGAGGTTGCCATTCATTATTATAGGAATGTTGACAGCATTGCATAAGTTATTTGCATTAAATAACTGAGTTTTGTTGGAGTTAAAAATTTACAAGAAATTGCAACCCTTAAGCTGAGATCCGCTGTCTATTATAAGCAGTAAAAAAGAGAAGACTTATTATCAATACAATAAATCAAGACAAGAGTACAAAGTTGAGTTGTCAGCAAATAGAGCCACTTTAGATGTAAGATAATCACAAAGATCCTTTATAAGAGAACCTTTAGGTACTACAGAAATTACTGGAAATGAAGAAGAGTGTTGGCGTCAAGGATGACATTAATAAAGCGGTTAGAAAAAAATAATTTAATTATCTCAAAAACTTTTCCAGATACACCATATGAAGCAAGCTTATGGAGAAGACCAGCATACCATACTTTATTAAAAGTTTTAGATATGTCAATATGTCTTGCCTTGGTACCTCCATATCATCCACAATGGAATTTTTCAGTCACAGCAGTCAGAAAATTAGCCACAGAATGAGAAGATCAAAAACCATATTGTCAGAGAGTTAGTTATATAGATATGCCTATAAAATAAGAAAAAATATCTTAATTTAATAAGAATCTTTCAGATTATTTAGTGCACTGAATGAAACAAATAAACTCGATGAAAAACACATTGATTCCATTTCAGAACTTATAGTAGGGAAATTTCAAGAGTAGTACTGGAACAAAGGTGTGTTTTGAGTTTTTCTAATTATGTTTTATGTTGTGGAAAGAGAATAAATTTTGTGTAACTTTTACAGTGTGGTTAGATTATTAACTTGTTTCATATGGTGAGTTTAACTAACTTTTCCCATATGATTAATTTATTAAACTTTTCCATATGGTTAGTTTATTATTTTTGTTGTAAATGTTTAACTTATTATTTTTTTTATTGCAAAATGTTGTAGTTTAATGATCTGAAAATTAATTTTTTTTTTCTATGATAACTAAAATATAAAATAATATCTAAAAATATCATAAAACTATTTTATGATTCTATATACCAAAGTAAATAAAATGTCATTTACTTAAGAAAAAAACAAAACAAGATGTTCAAGTTCTGTTTATACTTTTTCAAATAAAAGCAAAATTTGAATTAAATGTTTTAATATTAGTACCATTCTTGGCCTCAAAAGAATGATAAAAACAAAATATAAAATAAAGTAAATTTTGATTAAAAAATTTTCATTGATAACTAATATGGATGAAACAATTACGATGGTGATGCTGTTCACTATTGATAATTTAAAGTTTATGTTTCTGGTGGAGCTAAAATGTGTTGAAAGATCAAGAGTGCATTTTTAGGAACATAATTTAAGGTTACAGCATTAAGTTTTATATACTATATTTTTAATTTTAATCAATAAAAATAAAATATAACAGCTTTAAATGTGCATGCAAATGATAAACTTTCTACTTTACTACATGAAAGATATACATGTGCTTAAAGAGACTAAATGTGAACTTATAGACTAAAGAGACTAAATGTGAACTTATTTGTGGGTAAAAAGGAAACTATTATATTATAATACACATTTGGGACCATAAAAACATATTGGGAACAAAAAAATACTTGAATAAATTATGTGGGTAGATTTTGGACCTCTTGCCTGTTTAGCTGAGTGAATTGTTTTAATGAAATTTCATTTTGCTCAACCCAAAGCTGACAAAGAAACAATGCTAAGCAGATTTTTAGATGTCCAAAAGCTTCAACAAACTGTGGCACAATACAAGAAAATTGTTAAAGAATTAGCAGCACAGCAAGTTTATAAATTTCTTCTATATAACTTTCTATATAACTTTTTTATGTTAAACATCTATTTGTTTTAAATTTGCTAAATAATTTCCTAAAACATTTTCTTCACCTAGGATGGGGTACATGTGTGTGAAGTTTTGAAATTAAGTTGAAGGAGAGCTTTGACAGGCTTTGTAGTGTTCAATTAAACTCTTTAAAGACATTTATATTATTGATGTTATACTGTTCTCTGCAAGAGAGATTACAAGTTAAACATGATTTATTAAAATATTTAAAAAAAAAAAAATTTTAAACGTTTTCCTAAATAAAGCAAAGATTAATCATTGTGCCTGCAATGATTATCCTGTTGAATCTGGTTTAATCCTTTTTAACATTCAACATTAATTGCCATGTTCAACATGACTTTCTTAATGCGGTAGATATTTTATGTTGCTTGATAAAATTGCCTACCATCTTTTTTTAGTTGTTGTAAAATTAAGCTTATTAATATTAAGAGATACCCATAAATACTCATTAGCATTTCTGCTAGATGTTCAAGTTAAGATATAATTTCGAGAGGAATTTATTTATTTAATAATATGATATTAGTAAACAGATGCATTCAAAATTTTAAAATCTGTGCTGGATAAAACTGTTATATTTATTGATCTCCTGACAAACAGGACAGTTTGTCTTGAAAAAAAAACCTGTTTCTGCATATTAGAGTTGGAAATCTTGTAAAAGATGATAACTGCCTAAAAAATCTTGTACTTGTATATGAAATCAATACATTTTATTATTATATTTATATATATATATATATATATATATATATATATATATATATATATATATATATATATATATATATATATATATATATATATATATATATATATATATATATATATATATATATAAACATATACGTTTATATATATTGCTGTTCAATTTAAGCCATGAATACAAGTTACTAATATTTTATTAAGTTTAATAACAGTAAAAAATCATTTTTAACTTGATTTTTCACAAAACAAATAGATGTTTTTGCAGCTTAAATTAAGCATATTTTAATTTACATTTTTCTTTAATTTAATCCATATTTAAGCATTTGTCAATTTTGTTGAAGATATTTGTAGTATGTTAATAGACAGTGTAACGATGCATCAATTATTTTAGAATACTAACTCACTGGACAGTTGGTCTTGAAAAAAGACCTGTTTCTGCATATTAGTGCATTTCTTCTACAAAATAATAATTAGTTAAGAAATCTAGTACTGATATAAAAAATCATTAATTAAATAGTAAACTATATTATACTTACATGTACATATATATATATATATATATATATATATATATATATATATATATATATATATATATATATATATATATATATATATATATATATATATATATATATATACATATATATATATATATATATATGATATTGATAAACAATATCAATAAGGGATAAAAACATTTCAATTTAATACAACATTTGTGTTAAATCAACACAACATAAAAACGACAACTTGAGGAGCCCATTTGCAAAACATGCTAAGTCTAAGTAAACTCATTTTGAGAAAACAACCAAAAACTAAACTGCTATAAGTTGTGAATTAATGAAAATCAATATTTTTTTAGTCCATTTTTAGGATTATAATACTTAAATAATTGACAGATTTCAGTATATATAATGTGGAAATCAAATTAAATCAAAAATTTTTTTTTGTGACTTGAGCGTTTATGATAGCTTATGGAGCATTTTACAGATGGGCTTCATCGTCTAAATATCAGTATCAGTAATAAACTATGTATTGTATTAAACAGAAGCCTAAAAACAAAGAAGACTGGGTGGAGAATGCATCTTGCAGTTCAAACTAATAGTTTTTTTCAGAAAAAGGACTGATACAAGGCTGATGAGCGGACCATACAAGGCTGATGAGCGGACCATACAAGGCTGACACAACTTTTAAGACGTTGCTATGGATAACAGTAATCGAAATAGAGCATAAAAACATAATATTGTTGTATTTCATTACTTGTCTATTTTCTTAAAAGTTTGCAAGTAATTTTACCAACTTTATCTAGTAAGCAACTTTTTTCTGTATATCATTTTTTTATAATTTTTTCTAACATAAGTTTTTATCTTAAGTTAAAAGTGAGTAGTTTAAAATATGAAAATACATACACTAAATTCTCCATTTTAAGTCTGAAACTTCAATGGACAAATTATTCATAACATTCTAAATAATAATATTAAACAGTTAATTACTATTGCACTATGTGTGGCTAGCAACATTAGCTAAAATCTTTATCTCCATGGCAAACGAAGCAATTGAAATCTGTTGTTGGATGTTTGCAATAGGCAAATGTTTCATGCTACATGTGTGGAAGTTCAAGTGCAACTGTATGATAACTGATAAAGAATATATACAGGATCTTGTTATCTTTTCAAAAGTTCAATAAATATCTATTTAACACTCTTTTAAACAAACAACACCTATTCACATACAAAGATGATATTAACATAATCAAAAATGTTATACAAATGAAAACTAATTATCCAATAGATACATGACCTAAATTATTGTAAATCTCAATCTATATAATAATAATAATGATGATAATAATAATAAAAAAAATAATAATAATAATAAAAATAATATTCATAAATAATTATTATTATTATTTTTACTATTGTTTTTATTATTATTATTATTATTATTATTATTATTATTATTATTATTATTATTATTATTATTATTATTATTATTATTATTATTATTATTACTATTATTATTATTATTATCATTATTATCATTATTAACTAAAATTAGGTATAGTATGAAAGTATGAAACTTATTAACTGGTAACAAGTAATAACGGTTTCAAGAGTATGTAAAAGAAGCAATTTTGAAGTAATTAAAAATAGAAAAAAACAAGATTTAAAAAAGTTAGCAATACTTTAAAAAGCAACTAAACATTACTTCAAAAAATATTTTTTATATTATTAATAAAACATAAATAATTTTATAAACTTACATAGTACCACTTGATTGTATTATTTTGTCAAGTGGTGAATTCATTGGGGTACGATTATTTGTCAAAACATTTTCTTGCGCTTTTAAAGCAACCTGTGCTCGATGTTCTGCCAGCAGAATATCAAAATGCTTAGACCTACCAGGAACTTGTCGACGCAGAGACAAAGTATGTGTCTACAATAACAATATTTTTAGGTTCAATACACAAGTTTTAAAGGTAATAACAGAATTACAATTCCTACATGCATATTCATATATTTATTACTTTAATTTTTAATAGTAAAGTGATTCCTTTTTGTCTACAACTGCACAAATAGGATTTTAAATAAATGGACTTCATTAACTGTGTATGCTTTACATGTAATAAAACATAGACATACTTTACATGTGAGAGAACGTGTACAGTTTTTTTCCTGATCAGGTATCCATACGCCACAATGCTTGTCTGCATCATATTCTAAAAAAAAAAAAATTTTTAATTTAAACTTGTTTAAACTAAAGATTATGAAAAATAATTATATTAATTATGTTAACTATGTTATTATGTTTAAAAATATGTGACACATAAAATGACTAAGCTCATAAAAAGAAAAATCTTGTTTCCTCAGCAAACTAGATAATTAATTAAGAATGTAAAATGAGAAGTTTTGAAATAAAAAAAAACACATTGAAATTGAAATTCATAAAAAAATTTATTTTGATAAAAATTTTGTTGTTACATTAGTTTTGCAAAAAAAAAAGAAAATATATACTAACATGTAATGTTAGTATATATAAAAATATATAATAATTTTAATTTTGTACAAAATTAAAAAATATATTTTTTTTTAATTCCTATATAAAACCATTCAAAAAGTTCATGTAATGGAAAAATGTTAATAATATTAAATTATTGCTATGAATAAGAATGTTAATATAAATTTCAAACCTTTAATGTGAAGACTTTTTTTATTCTTTGATAAAAAACAGGGAGATCTAACAGGACTTATTAATTTGCTTTTGTTAACTTCACATTTTTTTAAAACAATCTTTGGCAACATCAGTTTATCAGTAGGATTTTTAAAAAGTGGAATAGTAAGCGGAACTTCTTCGATTTTAACATTTTCTTCATTTGGATCAATTTCTTCTATTCGAATACATGGCTTTGTGCTTTTGTTAACTAACTTGACAGGTTTTACTACATTATTTACTTTTGTATCAGTGGTTGAAAAGCTAATATTAGTTGGAGATGACAGTGGTTGAGAATTATAGCACTTAGGAGAAACAGGTTTTACAGTACTGAGAAACTTTATATGTTTCGATTCTAAAAATAATAAAAATGATTTGAAGATAACAGTAAAATATTGAACAAAATTTTATGCACTTTAAAGTCAATAATAATATCTGTATTTATGCTAATTTTGTTGTACCAGAGGTTTAAGGTAAGGGGAGGAATAAAGTACTTTTTTTATCCTACTCTTTTTAAATTCTCCTTTCTCAAAAGAAAAAAAAAATTAATTTATATTTTAAATTACAAAGGATGTGATGCCAGAACAATTTCTTTATTAATTATATTTTTAAAATGGTTACAGGATGGCAGTACACTTCACTTCAATCGTGTGTATATATAAACTATAAAACTGCTAAAACTTTTAGATAAATTCCTTTTGTTTTGACTTATATTACTCAAAATCAAAATTAAAATGTGATTTAGCTAAGCATCTTTATTCAAAATTTTAAATGTCAAAACATAAGATTTAATATCAACAAACATATATTATAAACAAATTTAAATGTTATGACAAAACTTTTGGGAAAAACAAAACTTAATTGAGTATTTTTTAACTTGAGTTGTATGAAAAAATGTTTTTTCATTATTTTCTTAAAATTTTCTATATAAAAAGTATAAAATATTTGACAAACCACAAATTTAACATTTTGCCAGTTTCATTTTCAGAGCAAAGTAAATCAGATTATGCAATTAAACTCACTGCCAAAATATTATTTTACAATGAAGCCATTTTTGTATCATATGATATTGGAAAGTAGGATGACTTTTAAAACCATTAAACAACTTAAATAAAGTCAGTTAATTATTTAAAATATATTTTTAGTAAACTTTTATGCCTGATTCAATACTTATGTATTAAAGATTGACAAAAAAGAAAATGAAAGTTGAAAATAAAGAACACGCCATATACATACATTTTATAAATATATATCAACCCTCAAATATATATATATATATATATATATATATATATATATATATATATATATATATATATATATATATATATACATATATATATATATATATATATATATATATATATATATATATATATATATATATATATATATATATATATATATATATATATATATATATATATATATATATATATATATATATATATATATATATATATATATAAACACATACAGGGGCTATTCCAGGAAAAAAATTTGGGCGGCAGAACCCCTTCCGTCCCAGAGAAATTTAGCGGATAAAAAGCATTAAAAAAAAAGCTCCTTAATTTTTAATTTAGGTGGCGCGCAAATATGGTTGACGCTGTTGAAAACGGTCTAGATTAGCCCCTGATATATATATATATATATATATATATATATATATATATATATATATATATATATATATATATATATATATATATATATATATATATATATATATATATATATATATATATATATATATATATATATATATTAGGTTAATAACAAAAAAAAAATTTTTTTGAGAAACCACTTGCAATTGAGGAAACTTTTTGAGCTATTTATTGCATTTTTGATTTTTTTTTTAATGTTTAATTTCTGCCCTCTTCCCCCCCCCCCTCCTTTTTTCAAAAAACAAGTTCTTTTTTCAAAAAAAGGAAATTTATGTTTTGATAATCTCTATAATGAATAGCCGAATGAATATTATTATTATTAATAGTGCGCATAGTTACGCGTATTGTTTTATAGTTACGGTACGGTTCTGTATCTGTAAAATACACTTTTTAAGTAGTTTCTAGACTTTTCTTTACCGCGTGCTTTCTTAAAGATTTCCTTTCAACCTTTCATGGTACGAGTTCAAAATGCCCAAGTTGATATTAAGTAGATAATGTTTAGTAGCTTAAAATTATAGGTAATCTAAAATTTTTTTTAAATTTAAAAGTAATTAATTTATTGTAATCTTTTTTAAATTGTAATTTTAAATTTAAATCTTCGTGTTATAGATTACATTAGTTCTTAGATTGTGTCTAGCGTTAAAATATATTTATGGGTAGTTTCATGCTTTCACATAGTTTTGGTTATTGGGATAAAAGCCACGACAACATTTTGTTATAAATTTATCTTAATTTAATTTTTATTGAAAAATTTGAAATAAATAAAATTTATCTTTAAATTATTATTTATTGTTAATACTTTTGCTCTTTGAAAAAAAATATGTTTCTGGCTCTTCAATAAATATAAAATAATTTGTCTTCCATGAATGAATTTTGGCTTAGGATTTAATTGTGTTATTTATGTTTGTCTATCTGTAATTTATTTAGGTTATTAGAAAATTCATGTTTACAGAGTTGTTATTAATCATAATCGAGTTGTTAAACCAAGGAAATTGTGGAGGTTTATTTATCAAATATACTATATATATTATATAATTATATTGGAGGGAGTAAGTTTAAAAGCATTTTTAAATTTTTAAATAGAAATAAAAATACTTTTCAATATATATCTGATTTCCTTAAGGTAGAATTAAAGTTTCCGTTTTTTAAAATTTAAAGTTTCAAGTTTTCAAAATCGTAATCTTTTCAAAATGTCTAAGTAGACATTGAGTATTTATAAAATCTTTTTAAAATTTTATAAGTAATTAGTTTATTATAATCTTTTTTAAATTGTACTTTTAAATTTAAAGCTTCGTGTTATACATGTGAATTTTGAAAATATAGATTACTATAATTCTTAGATGGTGTCTACCATTAAAAGATATTTATGGGTAGTTTCATGCTTTCAAATGCTTTTAATAATTGGGATAAAAGCCATGAAAACATTTTGTTATAAATAAAATTTATTTATAGTATTGTTAATACTTTAGCTCTTTGAAAAATAATATGTTTTTTTTCTTTTCAAAAAGTTTAATAACTTGCCTTGCATGATTGAATTTTGGTTTAGGATATAATTGTGTTATTATATGTTTGTTTTTCTATTTATATCTAATTTATAAAGATTTAATTCATAGGTAAGATAAATATATAATTTATTTAATTTAAAATTAAGATATAAAATAAAATATCTAATTTATAAAGATTTAGATCATTAGAAAATTTATATTTACAGAGTTGTTATTAATCATAACCAAGTTGTTGAACTAAAAAAATTGTAGAGGTTTATTTATCAAATATACTATATATATTATATAAAAAATTTTGGTTTTCATATGTTTTTGCTAATAAATAGTTCTATATATATATACACATATATATATATATATATATATATATATATATATATATATATATATATATATATATACATATATATATATATATATATATATATATATATATATATGTATATATATATATATATATATATATATATATATATATATATATATATATATATATATATATATATATATATATATATATATATATATATATATGTATATCCTTGGAGTTTCCGCAGCGTAATAGTGTGTTGGGAGAAAAAAATTTATAAACTTGTGTTAATAACCCGTTTTCTATTGTACATAACGCGTTAATAAGTTTTATTACCCTTTTTGTTCAAAGTTTTCTCCCAACGCATACCTTATGACGCTGTCTGCGAAGATATGTTGTTTGTTTCTAAATTTTTTTTTCTTTATTAGAAACAGAATAAATTTTAACTTTTTGTATTAAGTTTTTGCTAATATGGTTGCAGGTTTTTTTTAACTTCTATCAAATAAACTTATGAAACCTGTATTACTTTTGATGATGGCAAATTAATTTTATTTTGCATTAGTTTGGATTCTTTATATATTTGTTTTGAGAATTTTTTTTTTAATTTTTTGAGTAAGATTTTTTTAGTTATTTATTTAGTTTTTTTATTTTATTGTTAACTTTAAAGTAGTAAAAAAAATAAATAATTAGTGTTGCTTTGATAAGTATGTTTAATCAAAATGATGACATTGAAATGAATGATAGGCTAGATGAAAATATGTATTTACAAAATGATGTAAGTGCTATAAGGCGTGTTGAAAATAGTCATTGACGAAATGAAAGAAATAGACTTAGGCGAGATGAAATTAATCATTTACAAAATGAAAGAAATAGGCTTAATCGAGAAAACCTTAATCATCGCCAAAACAAAAGAAATAGGCTCTATTGAGATAATATTATTCGTCGCCAAAATGAAAGAAATAGGCTCGATCGAGATAATGTTAATCGTCGCCAAAATGAAATAAGAGCTGTTGGACAAGGACAAATGTATTCTATAGCAAGAAGTAATGCTATTCCAGATTATAATTATTTAGGAGAAATGAATCAAATTTGTCAGCACTGTGGTGCTAAGAAATTTCCAGATAAAACACATTTTTTATGTTGCCATAATGGTAAGGTAGCTTTCTATTTAGACGTTGGTAGTAATATTGAAACAAGTAGTTTATAAAACATTTTTAAATTTTTAAAAAGAAATAAAAATACTTTTTAATATATATCTGTTTTCTTCGAGGTAAATTTAAAATTTTAGGTTTTTAAAATCATATATATTATAATATTAAATTCTTTTTTACTTTAAAAATATCTATATTATAGTTACACTGAGTCATAGAAAAATAATTAAAGTTTATTAATAAGGTAGTAGATCATTAGAGTAGATTAAATTGTTTGATCTATTTAATCAACTTAATAATATACTATTAAAGTGAAGATTTATTTTGGCTGTTTGTTTGTTAAAATTTAAATTCTTTAGTTAATCAAGAGAGATCTAATAAAGGTATTAATTACATTAGTTAGTTGAATGTGGCATTTAATATGTATTTTATCGATATTTTAACGTCTAAACATTAAAGTGCTTTTATTGTTTAGATACAGAAGTGAAGAAGCAAATAAGTCAGTGTTTTTGCTATTAGATATTTGTTAATAGGAATTTGTTTATTTGTACTGCCACTGGAATTTTAAAAAATCAAGCTCTTTAGCTTTGTTTTATACTTTCTTTTAGGGGAGTTGGAACAAAAACTAAGTATAAATTATGATTAGTTTAGTTTAATAAATAAAGTATAGCTGGTAGGGCTGTGTTAATTAAATTATAAGTTCGCTAGATTCCTTATCATTCGAA